CAGAATGGGTGTGGCCACTGCAAGCCTGACAAGGTTTGGGATACTAAACAAAGAAATTCGCTCTCTTGGTGCTCTTGGTTCCTCTTGGCACATTTGGCTCTGGCCCATAAGCACTTTCCTGTGTGGACCACAGCTATGTAGACCCCACACACAGTGGAATAGTGGACTCTAACTAGCCTGATGCTGAACTGGACCCCGCTCCAATATAGAAGGGAATCTCCAGACACTGGCTACACTTCCATGGCTGGACTAAGGGAAATGGAGCTTTGGAAGCCCAGAGGTGTAATTCCACAGAAATAAAGCTCTCTACCATATCTCATCCTCTCCTGGGGGCCTCCAGAACTGCTTATTCCAGTGGTCCTGGAAGAGCCCCACTTTGTCCAAAAATCAGTTCTGTAGTGAAAACTTACTGCCATTAAACATTTTATTTACTGCTCATAGCTCTTTGCGTATACCTAGCTACACAGGTGTGACCTAGCAGATTGAATAGACAAAAGTGAAGGCAACGTCAGTACAAATTTCACCCACTGGCTTCAATCCCACTTTTGGAGCTTCCACATTGAATAATAGAATCCCTCGATCAAACGTCAGCCCCTAAATTGTTCAAAGTCAAGTCCGAATGTCTCAACCCCCTCTATTTTTTCTCTCATCAAAATAAAAAGTCCTGCATGTTGGGACAGAAATAATCTGGAGGAATAAGGACAAAGGCAGTTGGAATCCCTCGTCCTCAGGTACATTCCATGTGGTTGTGAAACCAGCATGTTCATATAGTGACCCCGGAAACAGGCCTCAGAATTGGCCTCCAAAAGAGCAAATGGCTTCGAGGGCAAGCTCATGCCTCACCTTAGGGGGAGGTGTAGAGGCAGAGGAGAATCTGCTTTCCAGTTACACCAGCAGCCTGAACTTCTTCCTCACACCCTCCCACCTCCCCGCCTTGTTGACCCTGTAATGGATGTGCTTTATAATAGACCTAATGCCTCAAGTAATTGTCATTTTGATTAAGCTGTAAACCTACAGGCTTGTGAGAAGGAAATAGCCAGGCTTTCAAATCCTGTGCAGAGAATAGACCACAGGGCAAGCCGATTGAGTTTAAATAATTTAGAGATACCCGGTGAGAAGATTACCCCCCTAAATATTTAAGACCCTGAGGGAACAAGCCATTCCCCTTTGTTCAATGTTTTCTCTCTGGGAGAATTGCCATCAGAGTCATTGCTGACTCATCTGTGGTTCAGTTTTAAACCCTTGACTCTCAAGAACTTAGACTCTTGGCTCGATCACGGGGTTGGAAAGCAAGATAGCCAGAATTTTTCCTGCCACTTGTCACAGCAGAGACAGGCCTCCTGTCCGGAGATAACAGCATCCTGTGAAATGTCGTATTCCAGTGTGCAAAGTGGATAGGTGTCTAGCAGACACTCTGAAGGCCAGAAAAACATCAAATGTAGTGCAATTATTAATTGGTCAAATAAAACACATTCAAAAATATATGCCAGTCTGACAATAATCCATTTTTTATTGAGTCCTGACTGACTGTCATTACAAACTTTGTAATTTTGTTTGCTATTCATTTCTTTTTGCACCCATGGAGAAAATAGTTTATTTATTTGTTCATGTAGGGGTGGGCAAAAGAGGTTGACAATTGTAATACAACTAATAATACAATAATTAATAAATAATAATACAAGAATAAGCTATGTTTTATGTACTCACAACTGCAAACCTACTTTTGCCAACCACTGTACATTCTTCCTATTCTGCATTTTTTAAAATTTTATTATTGATTTCAGAGAAGAAGGGCAAGGGAGAGAGAGATAGAAACATCAATGATGAGAGAGAGTCATTGATTGGTTGCCTCCTGTATGCCCCCCACAACCAGGTTATGTGCCTTGACCGGGAATCGAACCGTAACCTCCTGGTTCATAGGTGGACGCTCAACCTCTGAGCCATGCTGATGGGGCATAGTCTGCATTTTTAGGGAGAACTCACAATATGAGGAAAGTGGTATGTTCAAAGGAAATGGAAATAGGTGTCCTTCAGCAAGAAAAATGGAAGTCCAGGGAGACAGAAAAGAGAAGGGTAGAGAAGGAAATATATATCCTGCTACCCACTCTAAGTTGAAATCTCAGAAAGAAGAAAGTTGGTGGTTTTAGAAACAAGAAAACAGGTTAGGGGGCCCAGAGCACTGGCATGCCCTCCTCAGTTTGTCAGGTGAGGACTGCAGAGCTTTCTAGTTCTCTTAGACAATCTCTGTGACTAGCATGGCCCTCCTGTGTGGAGGAAAAAACTAAAGAAAGAGAGGTCACAGTCACTGCCCCCAAGGCTCCTCCGTGCCTGGGTTAGGGATAAGGAAGTCCCTGCTTGCACCCAGGGTGGACTCGGAAGCTGGCTGAGTCTGGAACTGCAGGCCTTCTTTGGGGAAGCCACATGGGTGACCAGCATGAGCCAAGAGGCAAGTGGACCACATGGCTGAGCACAGAGACTATGGTCCCAGCATTAACTGAGTTGAGGCAACTCAGCTGACGGGGAAGGGTCACTGAGCCTTGAAAGTACTGAGAGTGAAGAAGTTATAATTCACCCATAAGATTTTAGCAGCTGCTAGCAGAACACTGGGCACCGCACAGGACAAAGGCCATCAGGCCTGAAACCAGGGGGCCTCAGGGAGGAATGAATTTGGCATGTAGGTTAGTCATCCCTCCACCCAATGGTGTGTGTTTCTAAGAATTATCCTAGAAAAGACCAACAGAGCTTCCCTTACAGCCAGACAACACTGTGATGTGTGAAGTAAGAAGCTAACTCTCACACGCCATTCCCCGTAGTGTGAGGGAGTTAGTTTAGCGAGGCTCAGAGGGCCCCACTGTTCAGAGTACTCCCGAACCCTACTTCCAGTGCCACAATATTGTCCGCTTGAAATCAGCCATATTGGGATTATTGACAGCATGAAAATTGGTAAATGCTAAAAATCAGACCTACTCCCCGCCCCCTCAAAGAGAGCTGATTGTTAACGTTTTATCAGCACACCTAATCCTCACACCTTCTCCTCCATCTCTCAAGGTAGAAATGTGGGATGACATGAGGAGTTTCCTTCCCTATATGAGCAGGGGCATGGAAGAATGGCTTCTCAGAGTATAATTGGTAAAAAAAAAAAAAAAAAAAAAAAAAAAAAAAAAAAAAAAAAAAAAAAAAAAGACAATCTTATTCTATAAAAGATGCAGAAGAATTATACTAAAAATGAGAGGCTAGATTTCAGACAACTTTAAATTCCATGTCAAGGAGACTGGCCTTTAACTCTTAATCACTAAAATCATTAAAATAAAAAAGTCATTAACAAAATTTGAAGGTTGGTGTGTTGTTGTGTGTGTGTGTGTCTGTGTGTGTTTTTTTTTTTTTTTTTAAAGAATGGCATTATAAAATGGGTTTGGGAGGGTTACCTTTTAGGGTATATCAGATTGGATAATGTAGTACAGGGGTGGGGAACCTTTTGTCTGCCAAGGGTCATTTAGATATTTACATCATTCGTGGGCCATGCAAAATTATCAACTGAAAAATTAGCCGTCTACATTTGTTCCAACATTTAATTAACTCACCCCTAATGCCTTGGCAGGGCCAGACGAAATGATTTATCTGGCCTTATATGGCCCTCGCCAAGTTGGACATTCCCCACCCTGATGTAGTGGGTAAAAAAGAATATTTTCAAGCACCCAAGTGATTGAGTCCATTAAATGGTATAAGAGTGACTTGATAAAGGAGTAAAGAGTTATAAACAGAGAGTGAAAAAATGGATAAAAAAAGAGTTATACTAATCGGACTTTCAGAACTAGGTTTATTTACATGTCTGCCATGTGTTCCTATTTCCTGCAGATTTCTCTTTTCCTAGGTCAGATTTCAGACCCTAAGTGCCTCAAAGTCAATGCTTCAAGCAGGTGATCAACCTCCATCAGAGTCACGTAGGTGGTTGTCATACTGCAGATTCCTGGGTTGTACTCAAGACCTATGGAATCAGAACATCTAGAGTTGGGGCCTAGGAGTCTGTGTTTTAACTGTCACTCCCCAGTGATTCTCGTGCCCCGTCAATCTGAGATCAACTCTCTCGATTTAATCATTGTGTGGTCCAGCACTTCAAATAGATTCTGACGCTCAACTGAGGTTTGCTGGAGTGGAAGGGAGCTGTGGGGTCTAAACTGTGTGACACATACGGTTAACGGGAGTTTAAAATATGGAGTTTCACCTTATTAACTTCATTGGCTGCAATGGCAAGCTTAAAACTGTCTCTTTCAGGG